GTCCCATTAGCCACCACACCCCCCAACCCAGGATATGCCAGTGACTTTGGAGGACTAAACTTTGGCAGGTTTTTCCAAAATCTGCAGCTTTGAGATTCCTCTCTCAGCATCTGTCTATACTCCTAGGAGTTTCACTAGATTTGGCAGCCCTTCCTCATATACTGTGATTCCAGATTACAGGACTCTTTAGTTTCATCAAAGAAGGAATTTGACTATTTTTCATTTCTCTCAATTGCTCTGAAGTCATTCTAAAAAAAAGTAAGAGAACTGACATCTTTATTCTGCCACTTTAAAATGAGAAGTAAGCAATTTTAGGGGTCTAACCACACAGTCAGAAACAATCTACCCCAAATTGGGGAGCAAGGAAACAGTGAAATGACCATGGGTATAAAAATGTCAAAAAGATTAAATTATATAGCTATCATTATTTACATAATAATTGTTTGTGAAAATATACAATTGTATATTGAAAAGCATATGATGATTATAAAAACTGCCTATACTGAAGTCATAAATAAGTAAAATACATATACACATACAGGATGAAGAAGAATGGAAGGGAAAATGAAAATTGTCTTCTGTTAAAGGTGATGAATACCGAGCAATGTTTTTCACTGAAAAAGTATTTGTTGTTATCACAGTATAGTTTGTGCAATTAAAAAAAAAAATACATGTTCAAAAAACAAAAACAAACAAGACCACACAGATATTTACTTTAGTACCTACTAAACACAAATTATTAAAAACACAATTAACAGCTTCCCACTTGCCATTGCTAACCATGCCCTAACCTTGAAGGCAAGCTCCGAAGGCTGCACCCTTCGGCTCTAGTTCCAACCAGATTCTTTGCAGCAGCCAGTGGTCTCCTGGCTACACCACTGCCTCACCCCTAGAGGTTGGCCCTGCTCCAAAAGAGCACTGTCTACTCAGCACTGAGGATGTGCGGGTCACTGCGAGGGGAGCATAGCAAGTAGGAGTGTGGGCTTTAAATTCTCTTAGTTTGTTTCCTTCATAATACAGAGCAGGAAAAAGACAAAACAAAACAAAAACAGCTGCATTTAAAGGACAAGTTAAGAGTTAAAATAGCTTGGGCTTTGGAAACAGCCAGATTAAATAAAATATGTATAAAATGCACCTAAAACAGGGTCAAGCACATAGCAGACATTCAGTTAAAGTTATTTGAAAAAAGCTCTTATACTCGGAAAATGACTTTTTAATTAAAAAAATATGGTAGGAAAGGATACTACTTACACATTTTCTAGGACCATTTAAACCAACATTTTCTCCTTTTCAGCTCTTCAGTTTCTCTGTTCCAGAGTTTCCCACATATTAAATACTGACATTGCTATGACCATTTAAAAAAATTACTTTGAATGCATAAACTGAATGTGTGATTAGTCTATTTTATTAGCAATATCTGTACTCTCTGAATAATTACAACTAATTCAAGGTGTTCAAAAGATCAAAGTATTTTCATAAAAAAGTAGCCTAGTAATTTTGATAAGTTATAACTCACAAACAAAAAAGAGGAAAACAGATTTACATGTCTCAAATATTTCCATAATCCTCCAAGATGAAAGTGATGAAAAGGAATAAATCTAGGTATGAACTCTGAAAATGAGCTTCTCCTTTGGCTAAGTAAATCACTGATCAGTAATGGCTAGAATTGTCATTGGTTTATTCACAGAAAATGTATACATATTTGAAAATTAAAGTTCAATTTAAGTAAAATTTAAAATTTAGTTTCTCTGTTGGACTAGCCACATTTCCAGTGTCCAATTGCTACACCTGGCTGGCAGCTACTGTATTGGGCAGTGCAGGTTTAGATCATTTCCTTCAGTGCAGAGTTCTGGAGATCACTGGGTTTAGATGGTTCAAAGATGAAAAATAAACCAAAGCCTGTAATCTGGTTTGAGAGATGATTACATCATCTGAGGACTCCTCTTGTGACATAGGGGGAAAAAGAGAGAGAGGTTAAATAGAGAGAGAGAAAAAAAAATGCATCCAGACTCTGGCTCAATTTTAAGCTTGAGGGGCTGGGGGTGTTGGTGATGGTGAGAGGGAGAAACCTGTGAGAGGATGGGCCTCTTTCACGGCTTCTCCCAGATGCCATCTGAGGCACAGCCAGAATCTAGCGTGGGGTCTCTTTCTTTTCTCACTCTACATACTCCCCAAACAATCTTGCCCACACAACCACAAGCTGGTAACAGGAAAGTGTCTGTTTCCAACACAGATGGAATTCTTGCCTTCAGGTCCATACCCAGCTTCCTTTACTCTAGGTCTTTACTTGGATTGTTTTGAAAGTGACTCACAATGTATCCAAACTCAAACTCCTCATTTCTTGCCTTACTGAGTCCTATACAATAAAGAACTTGGTTGCCCTTTGTCCCCGTTCCTGGGGGCAGCCAATGAACCCTTGAACTTCCGTGTGACAGAGTATCTTTGTTATTCACGGTGGGCTCCTTGGCCCACATCTGATAGCTTGTGTTAACAAGTGACTCAGGGGGGACCCCTAGACAGTTTTCGCTAAGGAGATGATTCACGATGGGAGTTGGTCAAGCCAGAAAGTCCAGCCATATCATCAGAGGGTTGGGGCACTGAGCCAGCAGATATCAGACCAACATCTGGGGAGTGAAGAGGGGCTGGAGATTGAGTTCGACTTTGTGGTCAATTATTTAATAATACATACATAATGAAACCTCAGTAAAAACTCTCCACACCAGAGCTCAGTAACTTTTGCCAGCTGGCAATACTCTACACATTGCTGCACACTAATATGACAGTCCGGAAAAGGCAATGGCACCCCACCCCAGTCCTCTTGCCTGGAAAATACCATGGACAGAGGAGCCTGGTAGGCTGCAGTCCGTGGGGTTGCGAAGAGTCGGACACGACTGAGCGACTTCACTTTCACGCACTGGAGAAGGAAATGGCAACCCACTCCAGTGTTCTTGCCTGGAGAATCCCAGGGACGGCGGAGCCTGGTGGGCTGCCGTCTATGGGGTCGCACAGAGTTGGACACGACTGAAGCGACTTAGTGGCAGCAGCAGCAACGTGACAGTCATGTCCTGCCTCTGGGAGATGGGACAATGGAGACTCTGAGTGTGGGGTTCTCCCAGGCCAGCCGGATGCGCCTCTTCCTTGGGCTGGTTCTGATGTGTATCCTAGCTCTATAATAAAATTGTAATGATAAGTATAGAGCTTCTCTGAGTTCTGTGTCATCTGAGTGAATGTATAGCCTGTTGGTCTGAAGTGAGAGTAGCTGGGGAACCCCCAAAGTTGTGACTGGTGTCTGAAGTGAGGGGCTGTTTTGGGGAGGACTGTGCCATCAACCTTGAAGAGTGGCTTAACTCCAGGTAGCTGGCCAGATGTTACTGTCCCCTCCAGACCTTCTCTTCTCATGGGGTTCATGATCACAGTGAATGAAGATCCACCCATCTATCCTTCTGCTAATAGGGGAAAGGTCATCACTGATGATTCATCCTCCTCAATCGTCCTCCACACAAACGATCAATCATGACATCCTTCTGACTCTGTCTCTGTCCATTTCTCTGCAATTCTGCCCAGTCTACAAAGCCCTACATGACCTGGCCTTCTCCTCTGGCTTCTTGATGAGGGGGTATATTAGTAAGGCCACTTATCAGCTTTAAATTAAAGAACTAAACTTACATTTTAAAATTACATCATCTCTTTCACCTGGTACCTTGCTATACAGCTTCTAGCATTTAATTTTGGCTTTATGCCCACAAAGGGGAAATTCCCTGCTTTATTCAAAATACTTGTATTAAATAAGTCTTAAATTTCTATCTCCAGGGAATCTCTTTACAGGTACTCCATTTTAAAAAGACAAAGGTGGGTAAAATTTTTCTTGACAAGAAAAACTACCAAGTGTCATTGAAGGATAAGAATTATTATTCTTTGGTACCATGATCATTTGTAAAAAGATATATACATAGATACTTGCTATACCTATAAAGTAATATGACAGGTTTAAAAAAATAAACATACTAGACATTATTCATAAAAATAAAACTTGTCATTCAAAGTAGTCTCCTTTGGAGACTCATTCCAATAACAGAACTGAAGCTCTAAATATTTTGGAAAACACTGGACAGTCTATATATTCTGCATATTCTGCTTTTGAATATTCTCACAGACAATAAACTTTGCTTGCGAAAGTCAATTTTACCTTCATAACCAACTAGTCATTAGAAGTCATGGTGGGAAATAAGGTCAAGGATCATGACATTTTTGGATGAAAAGCAAGTTATATTTGGATGAAAAACACTGGCAACGTGTAAGTTTCCTTTTAAGTGATATACTTGCTCTGAACCAAAGCCAAATTGAAGGATGTATAAAAATGTTTAGAGAGAGAGTGAAAGACAACAAGAAAACTGGTGTTTAAAGAATCACAGACCCTTCTGAAAAATCTGATGACATTTATAGCTTCCCGCAATCTTTTGCATATACTTTTAGAAAGGTATACCACATCAAGATCATCTATAGAGCCAGATTAAAACTCCTTGGTTTAAAACAGTTGCTTTGGCTTTCTCCCTCCCCCCTCCCTTTTTTTTTTTACTATACCCAACAGAAAAAAATTATACTATAATTTTATATAACCTGTTTTGTATATACATACATATAGTTAAAATAAAAGTTTCACAAATAATTACCAACTTTACTATGTGACCATGTTCTCTTCTATCTGATTTCATTAAGAAAAGTGTTACTCATGACCTACTACACCAATTTCACAATCTACAGTTTGAAAAATACTGGTTTAGAGTAACTGATACATAACTGGAATAAGTTAACGAAAATGGGAAAACTCATTTGACTATAAAACTTCTGATGTTATTAGAAATTAACAAAAGTCATTTTACTCTGCATCCAAGCACAAGGGCCTGAATTCTTTATGGCAAAATGAAACTGTCTTGGTCATACATCTAAATGGTTAACTAACTACTGGAGACATTGATGGGTAAATCATACAATGTTCATACCTTAATATTAGAAAACCACAAATCATTCTCATGTAAAGTGGCCAAGTAGACAGATGTAAGAAGCCCAATGCACAGGGCAACAGTTCCACCAATTGTAAATGACAGAATCTTCCATAATCTTCTATTGGTACAACCTTATAGAAAAAATAAAACAGATGAGCAACCAAATCAGTAAAGAATTTAGCAGTTAATAGTTCTATTTCAGATTGTCAAGCCTGCTAAGTTCCAGCTGCCTGTCATTAGAGCTTTCCCTGTCCCCAGCAGACAGGGGCTCCTTTCTGTGATTCCACAGATCTTTCTTTCTATACTTTTATTATAGCTTTTCCCACCACTGTATCTAACTGTTCATTTGTCCATTTTGCCAACTAGAATGTGAACTTTGTGAAGACAAGCACACTATCTTATTCACCTTAAAACCTAGGACCCATGTTTGACTTAGTTTAGCTACTAAGTTTCTTAAATGGAAGAATAAATGTGTTATAGTTAAAATATAAACAGTCTTTTAGATGATCTACTTAAAATGTATGGTTTATTCATTAAAAGCTACCCCAAAATTTGATTAAAATTTTAAAATCCATAGAAAAAATCCATCATTCTAAAGTTAAAGGGCATATAAACGAGGAAACATATTTTTAAAGTACATATAAGAAAGGTTAAGTATTCTTAATATAGTATTCAGTTCAGTTCAGTCAATGTAGTATACTTTCAAGGTAACAGAACAATGAATATTCCAGCAGGAAATTGATTAAGGATGTGAATAGGCAATGCACAAAAGAAAAAATGACCAATAAAATTAATAGAAAAAAAAAGGTTAGTATTAAAGAAATGGAAATCAAAATAAAGAGCTATAACTTTACAATACTGGCTAATTTGATAGCTTAAAAATGTTTAGTATTCTGTTTTGGTATGTACACACACACAAAAAAAAGACATTTTAAAAACAATGCTGGTGTTAGAATAAATTGATACCTTTCTGCAATGCAACATGGCAACAGGCAATAAAAGCCACTGACATGCGTACCCTATTTGACCAATAATTCTAAATCTAGGCATATACCCTAAATAAACAGTTTCAAACAAAACATTTGGCCACGAGGATATTTATCACAGTTCAGTTTGTATAGGTAAAAGGTTAAAAGTCATCTAAATAAGAAATTAGTTAAAGAAATTATGCTAGAGTTACACAGTGACTACACACTGACAAAATTTTAAAAATACACTGACTGATGTATGTTCATATATATCATAATAAGAAAAAGACAGCAAGTTACACAACAGCATGTAGGATCTCAATTTTGCAAAACCACATCTGAATGCTTGTAGGTATATATGTACAGGAAACAACATGCAGATTTCGAGATAATCAAAGGGCCATAAGTGGCAATCTCAGGATGAGTGGGTTTCTGGGAATATCTGTCCCTTCCTTTTTGCTTTTGTTTTTTTCTGACATAAATACTGCTTTGGTATTAACAATTCTCAAAGCTATGCTTTAATTTAATGTTAGGGAAACTAAAATGGAGGAAATCTTGTTCAGGTTTCAGAAGCAGGAGAGCAGGTCTCTGACCTGCTTCTGACCTTCCTGGCCACTGCCTGGATTCTGTGCCTGCCTGCAAGTACCGCAGGTCAGGTGGCACTTTAGATAAGAAAGGGAGTGCGTCCTGAAATTTTTGGGGCCCTGGAGGTCTGGCCAGTCCCCCAGGGTCTAAGAAGTCTTGTGACTCACAAGGTGAAACAAACAGCATTATAAAAGTTAAAGAAAAACCAGAGCTGCATTTTTGTGTGCAAACTGATGATGATATCAGTTTGTGGCCTGGGATTATAAATGAAAGTGAAAAGTCAAAGTGAAAGTGAAAGTCGCTCAGCTGTGTCCGAACCTTTGTGACCCCATTGACTGTATAATCCATGGAATTCTCCAGGCCAGAACACTGGAGTGGGTAGCCTTTCCCTTCTCCAGGGGATCTTCCCAACGCAGGGATCGAACCCAGGACTCCAGCATTGCAGGAAGATTCTTTACCAGCTGAGCCACCAGGGAAGCCAAGAATACTGGAGTGGGTAGCCTATCCCTTCTCTAGGGGATCTTCCCAACTCAGGAATCGAAGCAGGGTCTCCTGCATTGCAGGCGGATTCTCTGCCAACTGAGCTATGAGGGAAGCCCCGGAATTATAAGTGGGAGTCCTCCAAACTGCAATCTCAAATCTTGCCTGTTGGGTGGACACACCACCCAGGATCCTTCCCCAACTGAGAGTCGACATTTGCTGTTAAGGAGGGACTGCCCAGCACTGTTTAAGTCTGGATGTTGGTCAGCCCAATTTGGTGATGTAGGTGCTGTTACTTTTCTCTATTGTTTCCATTTATCTTCTTTTAATGATTGTATATTGAAATTAAGTCAAATAATCCTCTGTTAAATGCTGAAATTGTTTATTGTGTGTGACAAGTGTTTTCTTTTGTTAACGAATCCTTCCAACCTAAAATGAAAGTAAAACTTTTGGCAAAAATTTAAAAGGACAAACTTGAACTTGTATTTTGTATGAGATTTTCAGAGAGTACTCTGCATTATCTCAATTTGCTAACAGCCGAGTGGCATGACTGCTCAACACAGATTGTTTACTTTATAAAACTGCTCCCCCAAATCACTTTACTAGCTCTAGCTGCAGTCGACATAAACTCAGTCATATCCAAAATGGCTGATGGACATGGACTTTTTCATGACTACTTTTAAAAATCCTGACATGCTTAGTCTAAGAAAGCAATTCAGGAAACAAAAGGTTGGAAATTAATGCCGTTTGATGCATGGCTTAGCAGAAGTCTTCAACATTGTATAAACAATTTACCAAATTCTGACCACTTCCCTCCCCACCCCCCAAAAGGCAAAGAAAAAATATTCAGGAACTTGACTCAAAATAAAAAAATGTTTTGATTCATCTTTCAATACTTTAAAGAATTGAGAAACTCACCCAAGGTAAGGCTGTCTACTGTAAGCAGCATACACAAACCAGAAAAGTAAGAACGAGACTAAAATGTAAACAGTGGGGAAAAGTATTACCCTGAAAGTCAAAAGATCAGGTTGGCATAATCATACTGAACAGACACCTGAGAAGCAAAGAATTCTAAGCATAACTGTAAAATGAATATTATCAGATAGAAATCAAATCATCTGTAGAAGCCTCAGGGTAGCAGAACAAGTTTCTTCAACTATTAGGTCTCTCCAAATTTTGTTCCTGTTGGAGAGTGATTATTTCAATATGCAGACAAAAAAAACAACCCCAAATGCTGCTTTAATTTAAATCACATACTAGACGGCAATTTATCTTCCAGCTTCACATTTTCTTCTTGTGCCGTGTAATCCTCAGAAACTTCTGTGGTTTGTATTCCTTTTCTTTGCCTGATGGATATCATGGTGTCAAAGACTCACATGCATTGTTCTTCCAACCACTCCTACAAACAACACAGAAGTAAAGCACCAGCCATATGTGAGTACCCTCTCTAGCAAATACACCCTAGTGCTCATCTGTGTTTTAGAGACTTTACCTGAGCCATTTTCCCATGATTACCATCTCCTCCCATTTTCCCATCCAAACCTTAACAAGCATTCAAAGCGACTCTCAAGACACAACACAAATATTTCTTCAACACGACCACATTTCTAAAGCTCCTGTTCTACGGCAGGCACTGCCAAGAGTTAGGAATACAGGTGAGCATCACAGACAAACCCCTGCCCTTCTTCCAGGAAGCCTTCTTTTCCTGGGATGCACCAACCCCTACTGATCCTTCCCCTTCCAGAGTTACAGCAGTCATTATGCAATTTGTCACATAATTAGGTAGCTTCCTATCATTTTCTATAGTACCATACCATGGAAATGGTATTAAGTAGAATCTGTTGATTGTTGATAGCCTGATTTTGAAGAACTGAAATAGTGTTTTGTCTCAGGTATCTGGATTTTGATACCTGTGTTCCTTCAAACAATCCACTCTGGAAGCTTTAGGAATATGTCTGGGCGGTGATGGCAGCGGGGGTGTGCCAATCAGGGCAGCTGCTCCGCCAGGGAGCAACAGTGGGAGTGCCAGCAGGGAGCAGGAGCCTGGTTTGGAAGCAGCAAGTGGGAGGCGGGGGAGTGCTGGCAGTGAGTAAGCTGGCTACCGTCCCCCAGAACATCTTGCGTCACTCCTCTGACGAATGAACAGCCTTAACTAATTATTTATCAACTATGACCGGCCGCCGGACATGATTGATGGGGCAGTTTATCAATTCCTAAAAGTAAACAAGTTGCTCTATTGAAAAGAACACATCATCCAACATTATGCAATTCATTCATTCATTCATTGAAACAAGCAAAAAAACCTGAGAGGCAAAACAGACTTCGGGGCAAACACGGAAAATGGAGAATCTGGAGCAACGAGACAGAAAAGGAGTGTCGGCAAAGTCGTACCTCCAGAGATGAGCTTATCCCCAAGTTACCTCATCCTAGAGTCATGCTCAGAAAGAGGCTCCGAGCGGAGTTGTAAAAAAAAATCCCAAACTGATACACTGTAACATGTTAGGACATACGGCAACAAATATTTAAGTGTCAACTATGTGTGGTAATTGCATGAACCCCATGGTACAAAAGTTTCCCCACCAAATTACAAGCTACGCTATCTTAATGTTTGAAAAGGGAAATGACAGCGTTGCTTTTTTCCTCCATTGCTTAGGAGGACCGGCGCGTACTGGGCATCCGGGGCGCTGCAGGGCACGTTGTTCAGCTCACCTCCGCACCCCAACCCTACGGCACCGGCGGTCCCCGCCGGCCGCCGAGCGGCCGGAGAAGTTCAGTAACTCGCCCGGACTCACCCAGAAGTGGCTTTGCCGCCGAGGCCGGAGACCACCCGGGCCCTCCCTCCGCCCGCGCGGCCAAAGCGAGAAGTCGACCGAGAAGGCGCCCCGCCCTCGGCAAACTTGCTATCTCCAGAGTTGCTGCCCCCGGCCCCGCACGTCTGGTGGACAGGGGACGACCCGTCCCAAATCGGGTGCCCCAAGACGCCACGAGGGGCGGGGCCGCGCCCCCAGACTGCGCGACGGAGCGGGGCGGCCAGTGGGCTTTCGCTCTTCGCTGCTGATCCGGCCGAACACCACCAGGCAAAGGCGCAGCGCCACCCACCCGCCCGCCGGACAGTCCCGAACCGCCGAAGTCTGGCGCCCAAGCGTCCGTTCGCGCTCCCCACGGCCCGACACGCAACCACAAACCTGCAGCCTCAGCCGTCCTCGCGCGCGGCTCGGGACCAGGAATGAAGGCTGTGGGCCGGCCGGGGGCGCCGAGGGTCGCGGGTGCGGGGCCTCACCACGGCCTGCAACGCGCCGGGGGTACGACCTGGACCCCGCAGCCGCGGAGCCTTGTGCAGCACCCTGGAAATGGGGGGCTGGGGGGAGTCTGCCGCCCCGGGGAGGGGGCGCGCCGGGGAGGCCGGGCCACTGCGGCCGCGCCCATAGGTCCCGGGAGCCGTCCGTCAGCGCGGGCCCCCGCCCCCTCCGGGGACGCCCCGCCCCGTCTCGTGCGGCGCCGGCCGGAAGGAAGCAGCGCACTTCCGGTCTCCAGAACGTCCCAGTCTGGGGGTGCAGCTACCTCCGGGGCACCCGGGACCTCGGGAAGGGAACTGGACTCGTGCTGCAGACCGCAGGGCCGGAGGCCACCTTCGGCCACGCAGACGCCCGCCACCCCCGGACCAGAGCGAGGGGTGGGGCTTGGGCAAAGAGGGCCGAGCTGCGAGGAAGGGTGGCCTCAGGTCGGACCGCGGAGCCGTGACACCTCTTCGTCCCCCAGGGGGAAGGTGGGCGGGCAGCAGGAAACTGTTCTTTTCGCCGGCGCCCTCTGGTCACCTGTGCTGGTCGATCCGGAGGGGCCGGTAAGGGCCCGACGAACGGAAGCACTCCGACCACTCGGACTTCTCCCAGCTTCCTGGGTGGCAGGGCCTGGCGCGCCCCTTCCCCGGTCTTGGCAAACTCCCCAGGGCCCAGCTGTCGCTGATCTGTGCTTGGAAGTCTTTTACCGACTGCCAGTGAGAGTTAATTTTGTATCTCCATAGATGCCCTTTTTGGGGGTGCGGCGGGCAGTATCTTCCCAGTTTTGTCTTCTAGAAAACAGTATGTTCCTCTGTCTTCTTACTCTCCTGTGTTAGTCGTCTCCAAACGGGTGCCAGCCGTTTGGAGGGCTTTTACTGTTCTGTCTACGTAAAAATCTTTCTTAATCACACTGCGATGAACAGTAAAGCCTTTTGTCAGCAGATTCTCAGAGCACATGTTAATTCATTTTTGTTAAGGAATGGTCCTCTGGGTCCTCCACCTGTGAAAAGGCTGCCCATCTGTTTAATTCCAGGAATTACTTCAGCCAGGTGCCTTTCCTAGTTACCCCTGTTTGATGTTTTTCTCCTCCTTTGTGTGTCTGTTGCTATTAATAACAAACACATTCTGTGAGTATGGATTGAGGTAACTGCTGGGTTGTTTTAATAAACCTAAATGTCAGCTGTTTTTTCAGGTGGTATTTGTCATATTTCAACATGATTGTTGGTGTCTTTACTTCATGGTGTGGACCTGAGAACAGGGACTGTGTATTTATAATCCGCCTTTTCCACCTTAAGATGCAGTAGTAAAATACATTTGTGTGCTTAATAAATACATATGTGAGTTGATTCCTCATTAAATAGGATTCCCCCCTTCTTTCTTATATAGGGTTTTTTCTTATTAATAAATTTTCATGAGTCTGTTGTGAAACATGTATCTTTTGAGTAAAGGAAATACTGTTTGTTAGCAGCTGCTTGTTTTACTATGAAATGGTTTTACTAAACAAGATAAAGCATTGAGAGAAATAAACACCCACTGCACAGAGTAAGTCTTGGTATTAAATAAGTTAATTAAGAAGGAATTCTTCATTCCAATACAGCATTTGTGGCTGTGGGGGTGATAGGTAATGAGTGGTAGACCTATCCCCCACTGAGCTCTGGGCATGCACTGTGACCGCAGAGGTGAGCACTTCTTGTTTGTATTATGTTTTGAAGCACAGTGGACTTTGGCTTTTCCTTTGTTGGGGTCAGCAACAGTTAAGTTGTGCTGAAACAGGTCAAGTCAAAAAGTATGGTCTGGAAATCTGTGTCATCATGGGGAGCTTGTTGGAAATTATCAGATTCTCTCCACGCCTATTGAATCAATCTGTAGCAGTCAGGGACTGAGAATCTGTAGGAAGTTCTCCATGTGAGTCTGTGTTCAGCAAAGTTTGAGACCCATAGCAGGACCTTGCTATTCAAAATGTGATCTGTGGACCAGCAGTGTTGACATTACCTAGGACCTTAGAAATGCTGGATCTCTAGCTCTCCCCAAGACCTACTGAGTCAGAAACCTGCATTTTAATATAATCCTCAAGTTACTTGTATGTACATCACTGAGAAGCACTGCACCAGAAGTCATTAATACCGTTCACATCTTTCCCATAAAAGCATCTTGCCTTGGACCAATGGGGAGGGAGCTCTACTCCACCGACTTTCTTCTCATGCACGATGTTTGTTCATGTTTGTTCAGTTTTTAAGTTGTTTGGCTTAGTAGTGTGAACACTCTGGACCACTCCTATTTTCTGTGGCAATAGACTCTCCTGGTATTCCTTCTTTGTCCTGTTCAGTCTGTTAGGTCATGTCCGACTTTTTGCAACCCCATGGACTGCAGCAAGCCGGGGTTCCCTGTCCTTCAGGGTCTCCCAGAGTTTGCTCAAACTCATGTCCAGAGGGTCGGTGATACCGTCCAGCCGTCTCATCCTGTCACCCCCTTCTTCTGCCCTCAATCTTTTCCACCATCAGGGACTTTTCCAAGGAGTTGGATATTCACATCAGGTGGCCAAAGTATTGGAGCTTCAACTTCAGCATCAGTCCTTCCAATGAATACTCAGGGTTGATTTCTGGCATTCCTTCTCTATACATTTCTGGCATTCCTTTTCAGTCTTTTGTAAGCTCCTTTTCCTCTCTGGCTCATGTCTCCAGTTTCCAGTGATATTGTGACTCATAAGTTTTTATGTCGAGGCATAGCTCCTTACCTCCAGGTCCCATATGTTCAGTGTCTGTTGGAAATTTCCACGTGTACAAAGCATCTCAAACTCACCTTGTTAAAAATTAAACTTTTCCTAATCCCCAAAACTACTTTTCCTCCCATGTGCCCCCATGTACCTAACTGCCGGTAACCTAGGAACCAAACTTTATTCCTCCGTATTGTGTAACCCAAATACCTAATCAAATACTGAGTCCCATTGGGTTTATTCCTAAACATCTCAGAACTTGCCCAACTTTTCTCCCTCTTTATAGCCAGTACTGTAATTCAAGGTACCATCTTTCTGTCTGGATCATTTCAATAGCCTGCTGACAGAGCACCTTGCCTCTGGTTCCTGGTCCCTGGCTTTGTCCACTCAATCCACTCTGCATATAATAACCAAACTGATCTTACTAAGATACAAATCTTTTGGTGGCTTACTGGCTTTCTATAAAAATCAAGCTCCTTAACAAGTTTCTAAGTACTGCCATGAATCAGGCTCCATTTACCTCTCCAGCCTCATCTCTACTTCCTGTTCATAAATTTCCAAGTTTTTATAAGTGGTCTCCTTGCCTGACTTAACTACTGTTCAGCCTTTAAATTTCAGCTTAAATGATCCTTGCTGCTTGGCATTTATATACTCCCCTCTCACTGAATACAGCTGTTCTGTGTGATGCATAGGAAATGGTGGAAGTGACACTGTGGGACTTCTGAGGCCAGGTCATAAAAGACATCCCAGTTTTAGCTTAGCATCTCCAGGACTGTTCAACTGTAGGGCCACCAGCCCCCGTGTTGAGCGGACATTCAAACAGCCTGAAGTGAAAGCCACATGGGCAGCACCTGGCCTCTGGCCAACAACCAGCCTGCCATGTGAGCGAGCCACCTCAGAGCAGGACCTGCCGGGTCCAGGTCCTCCGTGCCACCCCCAGATATCTGATGAGAACAGTAAATGTTCATTTTTGATATAGCTGAAGGGATTTGGGGGTAGTTTTGTTACACCATGATGGCTAATCAATACAGTAGTCATCCTCCATATGGATATATTATCCCTTATATCATATGGATATATTTATCATTATTTAATATTTCCTTGTAATTTGACATTTACATGGTTTCTAGCTCTATCCTATTACAAGCAATGCTATAGAGAATATCCTTATATGATTTTTTAGGATATATTTCTAGACTTATAATTGCTAGAACTCATATTTTAAATTAGGAGAAACATTGGTAAACTACATTCCAAAAAGGTTAAAACTTCTGTTACTTTACACTTGCACCAGTGTATGTTATGGTGCTTATTTCTCCATGTCCTTGCCAACAATGGCTGTTTTTCATCTTTGCCAAACTTAGGTGACAAATGACACATCATTTTAGATGTATTGGTGAGGTGGAGATAGTTATATCAGGAGATTATTTGTATCGCTTTTTTCTGTGATTTATCTTTCATGTTCTTCAATGAATCATTGATATAAACTTTATATCCCAGGATTATTTGTAGATTGTGGATATTAATTCTTTGTCATTAACATGCAGATATTCTCTCCGTGTTGTGTACTTCATACTGTGTGTTTACTATGCACTGATTTTCCATTTTATGTTGTCAAATCTATCCTCTTCCTTTTATAGCTTCTGGGTTTTTTGACCATGCTTAGGAAAACTTTTACCATCCCAAGAGTGTAAAGTTTTTAAAATACTTTTTACTAGTTTTAAAATTATTGCATCCTTTTAATATGAGGAGTGATAGACATCTGATAGTTTTTTAAATTGGAGAATCACTTGTTTCACCTTCATTCTTACTGATTTGAATTATCTGTATCACATACTAATTCTTGTATGTATATGGCCTATGTGTAAACTCGTGTTTAAATGATTCT